GGCTGCCTCTTTCTTCAACTTGTCCAGGGCTTCTTGGCGTTCCTTAAGGGCCTGATTTGCTTGGAGCCCTTTGTCCTGAGCATCTTTGACAGCGCTCTCAGCCTGAGCAATCATCTTACTGAAAAGCTCCTTGTTGGACCCAGAAGCTGATGCCAAAGCACTCTGAGCCATCACCATAGCGCTCCTGGTCACAGTGCTCCTTGAAGGTGCTTGGAGTGTAGCTCTCCTTGGACTTCGACCACAACGAGGTGATTTCTCTTGAGCTTCAGACTTAGGCGTCATAGCGTCTTCCAAGGTAAACAGCGCAGTGACTTCTGGTTCAGGTTGGTCACCAGATGCTGCTGCTGGTTGTTGCTCTTGAGCCCAAGTATCAGACTCAACATTGGCAACTTTGCGACCTTTACCTTGATCACCTTTACCTTTACCTTTGTCTTGACCTTTCTTGCCTTTCCCTTTGCTCTTGGAGTCATTGGTGTTTTGTTTATACCAAGACTGCTGATTCCAAGACTGATTGGTCCAAGACTGATTGTTTCCAGAGTTCTTGGTGTAGGGATTGTTTGACCAAGATGAAGATTGATTCTTCCCTTTGTCTTTACCTTTGGACTTACCTTTGCCTTTCCCTTTATCTTGTTTTCCTTTTCCCATACCCTTAGCAAGGGAATCCACATCCATGGGAAAGGCTCCTGATTTTGCCTCTTTCCTGGTCTCGACATTCTCGAGATAGGCCAAAACTTCAGCTTTCACCTGGTCATACGTGGTCAATCTCGAAGCCTGCAAGTCCAAATGATCTTGCAACTTGTTGGGACACATCTGCTGCAGACAACTCCTGCAGATGTCATCTTCAAGTGGTTTCTTCCTCCTGTCTTCATACTTTCTTTTCAAGTTCTCCCAACTCTCAAGCCCTTCTCGAAGCTTATCAAGACTGCATTGACTTGGATGCAGAACCTTTTTCAACGAGGCTGAATTAGCTTGAGGATTTTGAGGATCATACTTGCACAACAGTCGTCTCATGGCTTCTAGGCCAAAGTGGCTACCACGAGATGTGTTCTTGACAATTTCCAACGCTTCTCCCTCAGTCAATGATATGAGGGCTTGTCTAGCCTGAGCTGAAACAAGCTCGGCACCTTCATCAAAGTCTACTTCTAGACCTGACTCAGTGATCTCTTTGTCACACTGAGATTCAACTTGTGCCACAATCTTCACAGCATTCTTGTGGCAACTTTCAACCCAAGTCTTAAACTTGTACCACCAACTATCCCAAGTGCCTGATGCTCCAGTGAACTTATCAGGTTTGGGTATGCCTTTCAACTCTGATCTGTCTTTGTACTCAACAGACCTCTCAACATTTCTGTTGATCTGTAGCTGCTGGTTCATAGCCTCGGTCATTGCCTGATTCAACTGCGCCTGACCCTGAGTCAATTGGGCCATCATCTGCATAACCATCTGGGACATGTTGGGACCGTTGGTCTGTCCTTGTGCTGGTGCTGGTGGAGTGCCTGGTTGCTGAGGTGGCTGCTGTTGCTGAGCCATCCTTAGTCGTTCTTCAGGTGCTTTGAGACCTGATTCAAGAGAACCCTTGGGTCTCCAAAGGTACCCAAGAAGAGCTTGAGCGTCAACCTTTTCCAGTTGGCACGAGGTGAGCGCGCCAGAGCAGAACCAGCTCGGCGTGGACACCTACACATTCACAGCTGGGTATCAGAACCTCAGCTCCGCTACCATGAACAGAGAATTTGGGCTCTTAAATCTGATGAACACTCCCGAGCACTGTTCAGCACCTTTTCACTCGGTTAGCTCGAAGGTAGCTAAAAGCACTAAAATGGCTGCAGCACATATACAAACATATGTACTACATGTAACATGGTCTATACTGTACACATATCTGATCATATTATGAATATATATATATTATGAATGAATATATATATATAATGAATATATATATAATGAATATATATATATATAATGAATATATATATATAATGAATATATATATAATGAATATATATATATTATGAATATATATATATATATTATGAATATATATATTATGAATATATATATATATAATGAATATATATATATATTATGAATATGATTATATATATACTTATATTTTTAAATATACATGTAAATATATATATATTATGAATATGATTAAATATATGTATATATATATATTATGAATATATATATATATATATACGTATATGAATATATGTATTTGAATATTTTATCGATATATTATGAATATATCATGAATATATTATGAATATATTATGATTATCATGGCCGTTTCCAGCTACAAGCCTGAAAACAATGATTAATTAAAAATGCGAAAAATGTGAAAAAACGTTTGAAAATCCAGTTGGGAAGGTGGAACTCTGATTTCTTTTTCTTCAGGTTTGATTTTTTGGGGTTCCAGTTTTGCTGCAGTTACTTTGCTGCCTGCCCAACTTCTGCAGGTTGAAAATCGGAGAGGAGCAGTTCAAATCGATCGGAAATGGACTGTGCAGATCGCAGATCTGTTAAATTTAGCTATAGCAAAACAATGACTACCAGGAGCAAAACATAAGGGAACAAAACCTCAAAATTGCTTTAAAAAATACATTTTTCACATTTTTTCGCATTTTTGAAATGCATTTTTTCACATTTTTTAAAATTGCATTTTTGAAACACATTTTTTCACATGTTTTCACATTTTTAATTCAAACTGCTACAACCCTTCTAAAGCTCAGTTGGCCTTGATAATATTATGACTATATAATATGTGTGTGTGAATATATATATACATATATATATACATATACGTATACAACTATGTATAAATAATATATTGATCCCTGTATGATGTATTTTGTATATATGGACAGATGTAAACCTATTTTATTAAATTCGCAATTCTAGGGTGATCAGGGATGCATACTGGGAGAGCTTGATTGAAATGGATAGATTGGGTCGTTTGTTGTATTGCTGGTAGATTATGGCAGATTATCGTGGATTGTGGTAGGTCATGGTAGATTAGTTGCATAGTTAGTCGGGTTTTCTCCAAACTATGGGTAAAATTGCTTGCCAATGTCCCAGGGACGCTGGTAACCATGGGTAACCCTTTCTGTGGGTTGATTGGTAGCCAGGCTCCGGCAGATTTTGATACATGTTGGTGCCCAGTTTGATGATTTTTGGAGACATCCATATCTGTTTCCCAGAGTGTATGTATGATACTGATATCTGGTCCATGTAAAACCCCAAAAGCTATGACTTAGATTGTCAGTTTAAATTCATTTGGAGAATGAATTCCCTCAAGATTTAAGATTTTACAAACATGGATCCAGATATCCAACTGCCGTGATGATCAAAATCACTATTAATAATACATAATAGTACATAACAAAACATTATAGTACATAGTAATACATAATACAATAATACATAACAATAGATAATAATACATAATAATACATAATAATACGACATGACAAGGGTGATATGTAAAGACGAGCTTGCCTCTGACGTTCGCGATGGTGAAGATGAGGAGGATGTAGAGAATCAGGATGAGGGCTACGAGCATAAGGAAATGACATATCAATGATAGATGCACCGCGGTACCGTGTGCAGCCATAGGAGATCATTCTTGAGTCGTGGGGTGTCATGACCCAAGGCCCAACCTCAATGATCCATGTGGATATCGAGGATTGAGCCATTCTCATCCCTGTTTTAAAGGAGAATGGGAGTATCATGGCCTTGGAGACTCAGAATTGGGATGAATTTTGGAGGCAAAAAACAAGGGAGACCACCGGGGTTTTGATCCATAGGGTCGGTGACTCACTTGCGCACACAAAATTGACTCAGTTACGCACACAGGATTCTGACTCACTTGCGCGCACAAAAGTATCTCAGTTGTACACACAGAGCCTTCGGGGGATGGGGTGGGGCTCGTTAACGTCATTATTTTTCTTGCTGTCCAGCAGACACAGGCACTGCTCTTTCATGATCATTACCGGTGGGGTGGGGTGAGGTGGGGTGGAGTGGGGTAGGGTAATAACGTTAATGTTCCTGTGCACACACAGGCACAGCAACCTTATCATCTTTCTTGCTGTCCAGTAGACACATCGTCATCCTCATAATCATCATCATCATCAACAACAACATCATTATCATTTGGCCAACACCATCATCATCATCATCATCACCATCATCATCATCATTATCATCATCATCATCTGTCCATCATCATCATCATCATCATCATCATCACCGTCATCATCATCATCATCATCACCGTCATCATCATCATCATCACCGTCATCACCATCATAAGGACACCAGCATCCGCGTGCAGTTGGTTTCTTGCGTGCACAACCGAGTCGGTTTTCGCGTGCACAACCAAGGCCCTAACCGATCCATAGCCAAATCACTGAAACGATGTTCACCAAGAGAAGTATGGGGATGTCAAAGAAATGAGCAGTGCAATCTGGGGGAAGCGTACACGTGTACTTTTATGTACCACTTCTTGCTTAAATGTCCATATTTTGTTGGTCAACATACCAAAATCCCATGGTTCATCATCTTCCCATTAAAACCGACAATTTTGATGTATTCCCCAGTTGGGGACAAAGCCAAATGTTTAAAGATCCCATGTTGTTTGGTTGTTTGGAAAAAAACATCCAATGAAAGGTGACTTTTCCATGAAAATCCCAAATGGGGGTTTGCAGGAAGATCCCCCATCTACTTAAAGGGGTGTTATTCCAGGCATCGAATCGTGGTATAATAACCATCTTGTCTATACAGTACCCCAGTTATATGTTTTTTCTTCCAGTGATGAAATATACAATGTGGGGCCCCCAAACGTGATGCTTTGTTGGTTCAGATTCATCCCCATGTCTTTTTTAATTTTTTAGGTAGCATAAACATCCATAAACCGAATCGCACAATTGGAGATTTTCGTAGGCCACGGCCCAAAAAAATGGTAGGTTTTGGGGCAACCCCTCGCTGCGCCGCTGCGCCTTGACCATGGGATCCGGCTCGCGAGCCCCACGTCGATATACGACCTCAACGGTGGGATTCACATGGATTCACCATGGGGAAAGCCATAAAGCCAACATGGGGTCACTCACCAGTGTTGCGTAAATGCACTCTAGTTTGTGGTATTGACATTGCGAAAAATGTTAGAGCCAATCGAGGGTCATCATTGTTGAACTCAGGATGGTAAGTAAACTTGAGAGCAGGCGGAGGGAAACGCACGATATGCAGTCGTGTAGTAGGTGACCTTAAAAGGAGAGTGCAGAGAAGACATTCCTTTCGGGTTGGGTCTCGCCAGAATCTTCCCATGAAAGTTGGAGAAGGATGCAGGATCTGAACGAGGATGCGGCTGGCGAGGACGAATGATGAGGTACGACATTGTTATGAGTTGCGCAAAATGCTTCCCCAAAGTGGAAGCCATGCAGTGCCAAATAACAAAACAATATGTGCAACAATTTCTTCAAACCAATAGTGCATCCCTGTGAAAAGGAAACTGCGCTAAAACACGTACATAAAACTCAGGTAGCTGATGCTACCTCGTGAAAAACCAACACGAAACAACTGAAAAACTCTGATGGAAGCGCATTTCCAACTTGTGCTTTTTTAAACGAAGAAAATGAGGATCGCAAATAACCATAAATAACAACTCTGAAACATTGGATTGCTGTGAAAGTTCGGTTTTTCGACATGACAGTCAAAGCACGAAAAGTTATGATTCAACCTGCTAAAAACCTTGATGTAAATGAACGACAAAAATGGGGAAAACAAACCACCCAGCCTATTGACCAAGTGTCCAACATGATTTTCCACTGATTCCATCTGTGACTAGGGGCGCACCAAGTTTGTGACAGCGTTCGGTTTGGAAAGAGATCATGTTGAATGGATCTCCACTGCTTAATTTTGCGAACTTCACGAACCGTCCCGGCAATCCGGCAACCATCTACTCTGGTTTCAGAACACAGGAGGGTGTACAGATTGTCTTGAAGACCCGCAACTGGAGAACCCACCAAGTATATAATTCTTTACATTCCTATTGACTATTGAACTAACTATTGCTGGATGCTGCAGATTTGATGTGTTTTGCGACTAATTAACTCATCAGTTTCACATATTTCACTGATTAATTGGTGGTATCAAGCCTCCAAAATTGGAGCTTCCCAGTGACTTCCCCTGGGGAAGCCCCACCACCCTCTTCTGGCGTCGTGTCGAAGACCGGGGACACCTTCTTGCGGTTGGACCTGCCGCGTTAGCTATGCAAAATTGATCAACATGGCCCATTTACTTCGAGGATCAACATGATGATTTAATGATCAATCTACCCAACTTAAAATGCTTCTGCGATTTTCCATGGTGATTTTCCATACAGGAGTTTTTCATAGCTAGAGGGTATAACCAACAGTGGGGATCACGACCATTTCCATGGACAGACTCAAATCGTCACCCCAGGATCAAGCATCAAACGTCGAAGCTAACAAAACAGACAAGCAAAATCTTGCGAAGATATTGGGAAATGCAAGTTTCTGTTTTTTTTGGAAATGACTATATGTAACCATCTGTAACACATGATCATCATAATCCAATGGTATTTTCTCTGATTGCCATGGCGATTTTGGAGGTATCCCCACGGTTCACGCCCAAACAGCTCGGGGACAAAGCTCAGCACATCGGTTTTCCTGCCTTGGAGCTCCTAGGAGCCGTGGGGGAAAATTCGGAAGGCGCGTTGCATGAGGGGATCGCATGGTTTTTGTTCCTGTAATCAATGGATTGGATTAAGGGAAAATTGGAACCGGAAAGCCCCATATTTAATAGGAAACTCTATGGTTTCCTGTAAATTTTCCCTTAAACCAATCCATTGATGTAATTTGACCAGCCAAAAATTGTGGATTTTACCACCAAAAAATTGGAGTTGATGATGCTTCCGGCAAAAAGAAACATGGATTTACCATGAAAAATTGGATTTGAGGCTGCCGGGACAAACCATCTTTGGGGGAGGAACCAAAATAGAATTCCTGCAGTGCTGAAAAACTGTGTGCATGCTGACTACAACTCATGACTCAAAAAAATGTGGTAAAGCCAATGAACCATCCTCACGCAATGGCCTGTTTTATTGTGGAAATCCATGACGCTGGTAGATGATGAAAGAATCTGGCTATGACTAGACACGAGACCCTTGGACAAGTCATCCCTGACCCTGAGTCAAAGTTACCTTTGGCCGCAAGAATGCCATGCTCGTCTTTTTACCAAGGAAACACACAATAATTGTGTGGCTCCGCTACGTACCTCGAAAGTTGGTTATCCAATTTTTTATGCGCTGGGTGTCTCCTGCCAAGATTCTATGGTGAGTTCAACCCATCCCAAAAATGTTCCGAGTGAGCAGAAGAGTGGTTTGATGTGTTAAAATGGAGGATATGTACAGTGTATATACATATCCCTTGAAATTGCCATCAAATTCATGGGGAATGTAATGATCATGAGATTTCATGAGATGTTGGGGTACTGTAAACAAACCCTTGAAACCATCGATGATCAACAGGTTTATCACCTGCAGGCCGCAATCTGGGATAAACTCCCCATGTTCACTCATCAGTAAATAAATGGGTGTTTTCCAAATTGGTGCACCCCAAAACCATTAGTTTCCCCATGAAAAATGAGAAGTACTGGATGATTTGGGGGTCTCACACGACTCAAAAAAACCTCAAAGTGAATCTCCAAATTGCCATGTTTGATTCTAAAAGGGCCACAGTATGAAATTCCAGTCCTGAAAGGAGGATCCATGGCATTTGAAGTTTATGAAAGGTTCCTTTCGTTGGAGGTTTTGGAGGAACCTTCAGTATGTTCCAAAGGTATGTTCAAATCGTCACCTTCAATTCCAAGTAAGTTATATAAGCCGTTCATGTAAGCTGTAAACTCCATAAATAGTCCCAGTTCATGTTCACACTCATATCTCCACTCCTTGTTGGCTGTATGGTCAGTTCTTTCTACTGCCTTTTCCATATTTGTTTAGCGAAATCCAACTTCCAATCCAACTGGGTGTGTCTGAAAATGGGCTACCCAGTTCATCCAATGATTTAAACATATTTAAACCTTGTTTCCCCAATGGTTTAAAAATCCAGGTGTTGGGTCTATCACCGGTTTTTCAAAATACCCACATGTTTCATAATGGTTACTCCACGTGGTGCCCCCAAATGACCATAAAATGATACGAACTGTCATTGAATTTATTATCATATACGGTCACTATGTGATAGTTAAATGATAGTTAGCACCAAAAATGATAGTAACTACCATTAAATATATATATATATACATAAATATGTATATATATATAATAATTTTCCTTAAATATATATGTATAAGTATACATATATACATATAGTAAATGATACATGTTTCCATGGTTTTCCCTTAAATCTTCGGACAATTTCCCAAGACGCCCGGTCCTTGAGGTGGGCTGCTCGGAGGGAACATTTGAGGGGAGGTGGGTCGAGGCGGTGAAGGCTTCTCATCGAAGAGAAAATCGAAACGAGAACCTAGCGACACAAATTGAGAAGTAATGTGAAAATTGCGATGACATGTTTGGAGAGTGATTTGGCATGGTGGTAGAAATTCCACAGATCGAGAAGCGATGTGAAGATTGAAATGTCATGGTGAGGATATGTTTTGACATGCAGAGTAAATTCAACAAATTAAGAAGTGATGTGAAAATTGAGATGACATGTTTTGGAGATCATTTGGCATGGTCGACATGGTGGAGAAAAATCAGCAGATTAAGAAGTGATGTAAAGATAAAAATGTCATGGTGTGGAGGTCATTTGACATGGTGACGAAAAAACAACAGATGAATCGAAGTGATTTCAAGTATTTCCAGAACTATGAAGGTCATCTGTATGCCGCCAACAATTCCTAATTATTACATATGATCAATAATCTGACCTCTTTCTTGGTCAAATTTTGGGACCCACTGTGTTTTTTCTCATGCATCCACTCCTTTTCCTGAAATCGCCATGTAGATCCTTTGGTTAAAACATGTTAGGCCCGCAGTTTTTGAGGGTGAAATCCTCAAGTTCATATGTTCAAACAATTGAATTGCCTTAAATCATTTCTAAATTCACCTCAAAACATCTTTCCCATAGACTCGAATCCGACTCGATTCCCTGAAATTTGAGGATCTCGCCCGGCCTCCAGCCTCGGAGGCGCTCCTGAAAGAGTTCTCCTCAGACTCGAAACTCTCCACAACCTTCTGAGTTCATTAATAAGTAATAGGGTTTCACTATAGTTACTATCACTATGGTTGTTATTAATATCACTATGGTTGTTATTAATATCACTATGGTTGAACACTTTGGTTGAACACTTTGGTTGAACACTATGGTTTCACTATAGTTGTTAGTGATATTACTCCATAGTTGTTAGTGATACATGGTTTCGCTATGGTTGAAAACTACGGCTGTGAAATAAAAACTCCGTATATGAAGTAACATGAAGTAAGTATGGTTTAGTTCCATGTTGTAACTATGAAAGCTGACAAACTATATATGGTTGAAAGAAATAATAACTTAAAAGGTGTATATATATATATAACTCTATGGTTTCAGCAAAAAAAAGGTAATGAATAACTGTGCTTTCAGGAATATTACCCATACTTAAGATATAAATATATTGTTATTATATTGATATTACATTGGTTGATATATCCATTCAGTGAGGTGTCCGTTTTGTCAGTCGTCATTGATGACCATGACTTAGTATTGAAACCAATCGTGTCGACTGGGGATCTCCCATGACTTAAATCGTGACACAAATGGTGACGAATGGAGTCATCCCATCAACATAAATTGGTTTCCGAATAACAGGCATGTTGGTCCCTATGGGTGGATTGATGACGATCCCCTAGTATGGACAAAAACTACCCTAGTTTGACCATCACACGTATGGGATTTGTATCAGCGTTGTCTCATAATATATCATAAGAAAATCTAGAACTGGAATTAACCAACAAAAATGGAGTGTAAAACCAACCATAAATTGAAAGTCTTATCACATGAATTTTGCGTATGTACATACATGGGTCCACAACCATTCTCGTGGTATTTTTTCGATTGATTTGCGCTATACAAATAGTTGGAAATATGAAATCCCAATCAGGGGATCTGGGTTGATTTGGATTTTGTATGAACCATCGTAGCTCGCCATTTCGTCCGAGATGCTTTCTATCTTGTCCAGGATGATTCTCAGGAAATGATGTCAATGTTTAGACAGTGGGTCACAACATCCTACCTCCCTTCCAAACTTCCAAGTGATCGACAACCCATCGAACATATAACATCATATAACAAGCATCGGGAATCTAACTGACAATCAATGCGGAATAAAATGCAATCTTTTGGTGCTTGAGGCACCGAAAGCACGAGCCTATACAAATTGAGATAATCCTTTCACTCGAAGCAAAAAAATTGGTCCTGGGTACTGAACTGGGACCATCAGTCCGACGGTTATGGAGGAATTCCTCTTTGAACGGGCAGCCACTTCAGGGGGAGGCAACCTACCCCATAAAACACATAGCCTACCCACTAGGTTGTCCATCAACCCACCTTCATTCGAATGAGACTTCTACATAAATGGGATTAAATGGGGATTCTACTTGTAGATCCTACACACTGTATTTTGCTGGTTGTCCTAAACTATCATGCCGTTGGGAAACTTTGAGTAGCTTCCTGGCTCCCCAGTTGATAGAGCCTGATATGGAATTTGGGGAAATTGGTTGACCAACCATAGTTCCTTAACGGCTCCCTCCATTCACCACTGGATAGCAAAACGGTCGACCTGAAAACCACCCAGTGCTCCTCTTCACTACTCCTGGCTTCAGGAACACCTGAAGGTTCCTGGCACGACCACGCTGAAAATATATGGAATGGTACAGATCCAAATGGATCCAAATTGTATGATGCGAGAGTGTGTGTGTGTGTTTGTTTCTGTGTCTGTGTCTGTGTCTGTGTCTGTGGGTGTGGGTGGGTGTGGGTGTGGGTGGGTGTGGGTGGTACAAAATCCATCATTCCAGCGACATCACAGGTCTCCTAAACCTGGGTCCTCTGATCCCAGAATAATATGCAAGATGAATAGAGTTCTATGCCACGTAATTGGGACATGTCCCATTCATGTAAGGACAATACATTTCACCAAAGTTGTCCTTTTTTGTATGCCACGTAATAGATCGTAATAGTGCCAAGGGCTGATTCCTATGCTCTATCTGCGGAACAACCCGACCGCACCTCTTGTAAGACATCCAGCTCACACGTGCTTTTTCGTTTCAGGGAAGCATATTCCCAACACAACGCCTGGAGCTTCGCATGGATGGGAAAATATTCACCACAAGCCATGTTTTCTATTTTTAACATTATTAACCACGATTTCAAGGATGTTGTATGTTTGTCCATTGTTTTCCTCTAACTCTTGGGAAGTGTTCATCACCTAAACCTTCTAAAATGGGATGGGACTACCGCTAATTGACTCGAAACCATCTCTGGATGTCGAATATGCTTGGAGAATTTGTGGATATAAACTTGATGAACATCAAATTTGTGGGTTTGGACCTCAACTTTATGAACTTTATAGCACGTGGCTGCTTTTGTCAAGATGAACTTGCTAAGCAAACAAAAAACCACAAACAGACCTCAGGGCGGCCAGGCATTTCAAATAACCGTGCGATGGGGTACTCCAACTCCGAATGATTTACAGTAGCATCCAAATCGCTGACAATTCGGGGAGTCTCCATTATTGCGGATCTTTCCTTACTGAACATCGCCATAACTGGAATTTGGCATACCTGGAATGATTTACAGTAGCATCCAAATCGTTGACAATTCGGGGAGTCTCCAATATTGCGGATCTTTCCTTACTGAACATCGCCATAACTGGAATTTGGCATACCTGGAATGACTTACAGTAGCATCCAAATCGTTGACAATTCGGGGAGTCTCCATTATTGCGGATCTTTCCTTACTGACATCGCCATAACTGGAATTTGGCATACCTGGAATGATTTACAGCAGCATCCAAATCGTTGACAATTGGGGGGTGTCCATTATTGTGGATCTTTCCTTATACTGAACATCGCCATAACTGGAATTTGGCATACCTGGAATGATTTACAGTAGCATCCAAATCGTTGACAATTCGGGGAGTCTCCATTATTGCGGATCTTTCCTTACTGAACATCGCCATAACTGGAATTTGGCATACCTGGAATGATTTACAGTAGCATCCAAATCGTTGACAATTGGGGGGTGTCCATTATTGCGGATCTTTCCTTATACTGAACATCGCCATAACTGGAATTTGGCATACCTGGAATGATTTACAGTAGCATCCAAATCGTTGACAATTCGGGGAGTCTCCATTATTGCGGATCTTTCCTTACTGAACATCGCCATAACTGGAATTTGGCATACCTGGAATGATTTACAGTAGCATCCAAATCGTTGACAATTCGGGGAGTCTCCAATATTGCGGATCTTTCCTTACTGAACATCGCCATAACTGGAATTTGGCATACCTGGAATGATTTACAGTAGCATCCAAATCGTTGACAATTCGGGGAGTCTCCATTATTGCGGATCTTTCCTTACTGACATCGCCATAACTGGAATTTGGCATACCTGGAATGATTTACAGCAGCATCCAAATCGTTGACAATTGGGGGGTGTCCATTATTGTGGATCTTTCCTTATACTGAACATCGCCATAACTGGAATTTGGCATACCCGGAATGATTTACAGTAGCATCCAAATCGTTGACAATTCGGGGAGTCTCCATTATTGTGGATCTTTCCTTTCTTTCCTTACTGAACATCGCCATAACTGGAATTTGGCATACCTGGAATGATTTACAGTAGCATCCAAATCGTTGACAATTCGGGGAGTCTCCATTATTATTGCGCGGATCTTTCCTTACTGAAGCCATCGCCATAACTGGAATTTGTCAATACCTGGAATGATTTACAGTGCAATCCAAATTCGTTGACAATTCGGGGAGTCCTCCATTTATTTGCGGAATCTTTTCCTTACTGAACCTCGCCATAACTGGAGATTTGGCATACCTGGAATGATTTTACGTAAGCTCCAAATCGTTGACAATTCGGGGAGTCTCCATTATTGCGGATCTTTCCTTACTGACATCGCCATAACTGGAATTTGGCATACCTGGAATGATTTACAGCAGCATCCAAATCGTTGACAATTGGGGGGTGTCCATTATTGTGGATCTTTCCTTATACTGAACATCGCCATAACTGGAATTTGGCATACCCGGAATGATTTACAGTAGCATCCAAATCGTTGACAATTCGGGGAGTCTCCATTATTGCGGATCTTTCCTTACTGAACATCGCCATAACTGGAATTTGGCATACCTGGAATGATTTACAGTAGCATCCAAATCGTTGACAATTCGGGGAGTCTCCATTATTGCGGATCTTTCCTTACTGACATCGCCATAACTGGAATTTGGCATACCTGGAATGATTTACAGCAGCATCCAAATCGTTGACAATTGGGGGGTGTCCATTATTGTGGATCTTTCCTTATACTGAACATCGCCATAACTGGAATTTGGCATACCCGGAATGATTTACAGTAGCATCCAAATCGTTGACAATTCGGGGAGTCTCCATTATTGCGGATCTTTCCTTACTGAACATCGCCATAACTGGAATTTGGCATACCTGGAATGATTTACAGTAGCATCCAAATCGTTGACAATTCGGGGAGTCTCCATTATTGTGGATCTTTCCTTACTGAACATCGCCATAACTGGAATTTGGCATACCTGGAATGATTTACAGTAGCATCCAAATCGTTGACAATTCGGGGAGTCTCCATTATTGCGGATCTTTCCTTACTGAACATCGCCATAACTGGAATTTGGCATACCTGGAATGATTTACAGTAGCATCCAAATCGTTGACAATTCGGGGAGTCTCCACTATTGCGGATCTTTCCTTACTGAACATCGCCATAACTGGAATTTGGCATACCTGGAATGATTTACAGTAGCATCCAAATCGTTGACAATTCGGGGAGTCTCCATTATTGCGGATCTTTCCTTACTGAACATCGCCATAACTGGAATTTGGCATACCTGGAATGATTTACAGTAGCATCCAAATCGTTGACAATTGGGGGGTGTCCATTATTGTGGATCTCTCATTACTGAACATGTCTCATGTACTCCAAATAGGATTCACCAGTTTCCGTTTCTCATGTACTCCGAATAAGGCATACCTGGAATGATTTACAGTAGCATCCAAATCGTTGACAATTCGGGGAGTCTCCATTATTGCGGATCTTTCCTTACTGAACATCGCCATAACTGGAATTTGGCATACCTGGAATGATTTACAGTAGCATCCAAATCGTTGACAATTGGGGGGTGTCCATTATTGTGGATCTCTCATTACTGAACATGTCTCATGTACTCCAAATAGGATTCGCCAGTTTCCGTTTCTCATGTACTCCGAATAAGGCATACCTGGAATGATTTACAGTAGCATCCAAATCGTTGACAATTGGGGGGTGTCCATTATTGTGGATCTCTCATTACTGAACATGTCTCATGTACTCCAAATAAGATTCGCCAGTTTCCGTTTCTCATGTACTCCGAATAAGGCATACCTGGAATGATTTACAGTAGCATCCAAATCGTTGACAATTGGGGCGTGTCCATTATTGTGGATCTCTCATTACTGAACATGTCTCATGTACTCCAAATAAGAACGTACTCCGAATAAGGCATACCTGGAATGATTTACAGTAGCATCCAAATCGTTGACAATTGGGGCGTGTCCATTATTGTGGATCTCTCATTACTGAACATGTCTCATGTACTCCAAATAAGATTCGCCAGTTTCCGTTTCTCATGTACTCCGAATAAGGCATACCTGGAATGATTTACAGTAGCATCCAAATCGTTGACAATTGGGGCGTGTCCATTATTGTGGATCTCTCATTACTGAACAAGTCTCATGTACTCCAAATAAGATTCGCCAGTTTCCGTTTCTCATGTACTCCGAATAAGGCATACCTGGAATGATTTACAGTAGCATCCAAATCGTTGACAATTGGGACGCGTCCATTATTGTGGATCTCTCATTACTGAACATGTCTCATGTACTCCATAAGATTCGCCAGTTTCCGTGTCTCATGTACTTCGAATAAGGCATACCTGGAATGATTTACAGTAGCATCCAAATCGTTGACAATTGGGGCGTGTCCATGATTGTGGATCTCTCATTACTGAACATGTCTCATGTACTCCAAATAAGATTCGCCAGTTTCCGTTTCTCATGTACTCCGAATAAGGCATACCTGGAATGATTTACAGTAGCATCCAAATCGTTGACAATTGGGGGGTGTCCATTATTGTGGATCTCTCATTACTGAACATGTCTCATGTACTCCAAATAAGATTCGCCAGTTTCCGTTTCTCATGTACTCCGAATAAGGCATACCTGGAATGATTTACAGTAGCATCCAAATCGTTGACAATTGGGGCGTGTCCATTATTGTGGATCTCTCATTACTGAACATGTCTCATGTACTCCAAATAAGATTCGCCAGTTTCCGTTTCTCATGTACTCCGAATAAGGCATACCTGGAATGATTTACAGTAGCATCCAAATCGTTGACAATTGGGGCGTGTCCATGATTGTGGATCTCTCATTACTGAACATGTCTCATGTACTCCAAATAAGATTCGCCAGTTTCCGTTTCTCATGTACTCCGAATAAGGCATACCTGGAATGATTTACAGTAGCATCCAAATCGTTGACAATTGGGGCGTGTCCATTATTGTGGATCTCTCATTACTGAACAAGTCTCATGTACTCCAAATAAGATTCGCCAGTTTCCGTTTCTCATGTACTCCGAATAAGGCATACCTGGAATGATTTACAGTAGCATCCAAATCGTTGACAATTGGGACGCGTCCATTATTGTGGATCTCTCATTACTGAACATGTCTCATGTACTCCATAAGATTCGCCAGTTTCCGTGTCTCATGTACTTCGAATAAGGCATACCTGGAATGATTTACAGTAGCATCCAAATCGTTGACAATTGGGGCGTGTCCATGATTGTGGATCTCTCATTACTGAACATGTCTCATGTACTCCAAATAAGATTCGCCAGTTTCCGTTTCTCATGTACTCCGAATAAGGCATACCTGGAATGATTTACAGTAGCATCCAAATCGTTGACAATTGGGGGGTGTCCATTATTGTGGATCTCTCATTACTGAACATGTCTCATGTACTCCAAATAAGATTCGCCAGTTTCCGTTTCTCATGTACTCCGAATAAGGCATACCTGGAATGATTTACAGTAGCATCCAAATCGTTGACAATTGGGGCGTGTCCATTATTGTGGATCCCTCATTACTGAACCGCCTAAATCGATTATTCGGAGTTCCTTATTCGGAGTACTTTATTTTTGTGAAATTGGTATCCAAAACTGGTCTATGTTTCTATGACCGGCGTCAATTTGTTGGCTGAATGGGTCGACGTGAAATGTCGACACATACCCACCTTTCACATGGAAGCTGTTTCTGAATGTTTCAGATATGTTCTTCATTCATTCAATTAATTTGGAAACCACTAATTTGAGATATAGTATGGTATCATCAAAAAACCATGATATGTTATTTCCACATTTTTTGTTTGACTTTTTCGAATGGATTGATACCATCTCTGCATCAATGGCATTGTGAACTGGGGATGGGGAACATAGCCACGGTTCTGAATCAATGCTGAAAAACGCTCAATTGCTTGGGATTTCCCATGTTTATGTTTGAATCCCCGTTTGTTTTGTCAAAACCTCCATGTGTTCTTCTCTAAAATTTATGTTGGATGTTTCGAATTTTTGATTTCTTCCATTGAATTCCCAATGTTTCTTCATGAATTCTCATAGGTTCTCGCAAATCCACCCTGTTTTTGTCGCCTTATAGCATTGCCCCAGCTTCTCATGAAGCTCCCAGAAGCTCAAACGACCTGACCACAAGACTCCGGGGGACCTGAAAAAGATACAAAAAATAAGAAAACTAAGCCCTATGGGTCCCTACGATTTCCATAGGTTTCTAATTATGATAATTAGGTTCATAAATTGTTTATAGTCTATAACTACTACCAGAAGTACCGCGCAAGGTGCTGGCGGGGATTTCAAAGATAGGAAAATTATAGGAAAGGTTTGTTGTTGTGATGCATGGATGTCAGAGCGAACTGATGGACCGAAAGGTGGTTGAAACTCTGAGTCAGTCTCTCTTTCTATCTCTCTCCGTCTTCTTCTCTCTGTGTCTCTCTCCGTCTCTCTCACTATCTATCTATCCATCCATCTATCAATCTACCCACCAATCTATCTACCTACCTACCTACCTATCTATCTATCTATCCATCTATCTATCTATCTATCTATCTATCTGAAAGTTACGAGACTTCCTCCAAAAATGTCTTCAACCGTCCCACACCTGCCATCATTTTGAAACTGCTGCAAAACCCACACGTTTGACTCACTTTTGACAAAGTGCAGAATCTATTGCCCTTGCCACAATAAATGCCCCTTGAACCTCCAAAACCTGGTCCGAAGATGTGGAGTTTTACCATTTTGACCTCCAAAAGCGCTTCGCGCCACAGCCGCGTGCGCTTTTTGCAGGGCTCAACTTCGAAAACTGTTCCGACCATGAGGTGCTTTTACCATTTTGACCTCCAAAAGTGCTTCGCGCCACATTCGCTTTGTCAACATGTCAACTTCCAAAAGCGTTCCAAAGCTGTGGTGCTTTTCACAATTTGACTTCGAAATGTGCTTCGTGCCACAGCCGCGTGCGCTTTTTGCAGGGCTCAACTTCAGGTGCTTTTCACAATTTGACTTCAAAACGTGCTTCGCGCCACAGCGGCGTGCAATTTTTGATCTCTCATACGACCAGATGGCTCCGCCGGCCGCTTTATTGAGCCTATACTTTGCAACCCTCCGGAGCCGTAAAACATTGGAAAAACACAGTGTTTCGCGACTTTCTACCTTTTCGCGCGCTTTGAGCTTCTTTATTCGTCCTGGCTCTTCTCTGATCTTCTTTCTTCATCTTTCTTCTTGTTTTCTCTTCTCTTGCTTCTTATCTTCTTCCTTTCTCTTCTCTGACTATCTCTGACTCTTCCCACCTCTGCTGCTTCATCTGTCCATATGGTCGGAAGTTTGACTTCCAAACTTCTTTCGACTAGTACTGCTAGAGTGAATAGTTGGATTCCTATGTCTTGGTGGGTCGATGTGAAACAAACAGAAAAGCAGGAAATCCTAGATAAATCTAGAGAAGGTGATCGCAACTCCATAGAAACATATAGGAAAGACATTGGTAGCTTATAAACAGTAATCAAACAAAATAGAGGTTACCAACCGGAGTCAAGTTTCTTCAACAAAGAATTATTGAGTGTTTAATCCAAACAAGAACTGAGAATTTATTCAGCAAGAATTGAAGGTTGACCAGCAAAAGTTTGGACTGCACAGGGAATTGACCAACAAATGCACCATGGAACACACCAGGCTATAGCTATAGGTATTCTCTTCAACTGTATTGTATGGGTCAAAATCACACTGCACCCCACTGTAAACCAACAATGGACCCATTGTTTGACTGCTTGCACCATCCAATTGCCTCTTACCCTCCTGCTGTTCGATACCTTGTTTGATACCAACAGCAGATACACACAGAATGTAATCCCAGTGCAGTCCACCAATGCTGATACGAGTACCATCGAATACAGTATCCAAATCAGACAAGCCTTTCTCGAGTGACATGAATTGGTGGATTTCCGGGCCTTCCATGCACACAGCCTATCCTTGATGACAGCTCTTCACAGATCCTTGATTGATTCTGCACATGTAGTGGTGAACTGGTTGGTGAATGACCCCCAAAAGAATTTTTTTTTTTGGACGATTATTAACATCATCCCAGGTTTTACATTCAAGCACCAAGGTGTTTTTCTTATTTTGAAACCTAGAAAGTCTTGAAATGGTCCATCCACTTTTCTGCTCACCCGACTGCCTGGTTCAAAGGTTCCAGGAGCATCCATGTCGTGTTGCACTGCGGAACGCTGGAGAACTAAACTAAAATCAAGGCAAACTGTCGGAAATCCATATGGATTTTGG